CCCTAAAACCCCAAAACCGTAAAACCCTAAAGCTGAATGCAAGGGACCCTGGCTTCCTCTTCAGCCGCCCTTCTCCGGGGGCCCTAAGAATCAGAACAGGGCTTAGGGCTTAGGGCTTGGGGCTTAGGGCTTAGGGCTTAGGGCTTTTTTCCGGCGTTGCTAGTGTCCGCAGGACGCACTCATAAATTCCATGTCATGCCTTAGAGGTCACGCCAATAGCCAGCGTACGCTTCGCGCACCTTGCCTGCGTGCCCGCAGAGGACCGTGTCCCCGCAAACAATGGCTGCGAGCTCACCAAGCTGTAAAACTCGCGCATCAGAAGAACCTAGCGCCTCTGCAATCTGCACAGCAAGCAGGGCGACATCCCCGGCCCGAGCTTGGGGGATAAAGAGTGGAGGCTCCCAGCCAGACTCAACTGCATGGGTCCATGTTCGAAGGAAAGGCTCAAGGTGGAACACATCAGCCAGGGTAGGCAAGAGGGCCACCGGATCAGGACCTGCAGGATTCTCGAAACTGCGAGCTACATCTTCAAAGTGTTGCACGGACCACCAGGGTGCTGGTCCAACCAGAGGCACGGGTGGGACCGTAGACTCGGCCAGGGTCTCGCGGGCATTCCCTGGTGTCCAATCTGCCTCAACGTAGACCCTAGAACACCTGGTAGCCTTCCGAAGGTGTTCTCGGAGCCTGTCCGTAGACCAAAATTGTCTACGGCAGGCTTCACATGCTGTCCCGAAGCCGTGTGCACTAGCTGCAGCCATAGAATGCGTCTTGGCCCTATGCGACCCCAGGGCCGCCGCCGTCTCAAAGGCCAGGGTGCACTCGGGGCAAATATGGCTCCGGGGCTTCTGGGCACAACTACGCTCTACATGGTAGTATGCAAGGCCGGCATCTGCAGCAGCTTGATGTGCGCGGGCCTTTCTCAGCGCTGCCTCAACCTGGTTCCGTCTGCTCATGACACAGTGCCTGCGAAATGTGCGCAACAGGTTCCTAGTCTGTGCCACAGAAAAGGGGAAGCTAACGTCAACGCCCTTGTCAGCATTCCAACTTTTAGCTATGGCAGCCAGCTGGGTGTTGCCTGTCCCAATCGCGACACGGGATAAGGCAGAACCAAGGGCTTTTAGCCAGTCGGCTCCCTGCACACACGCCTGCAGGTACTCATCTCCCTTGGCCACTACATACGCCCAGGTTCGCACTGTAGCGATATCCAAGGCCTCCTGTGGGGTACAGACATCCAGCAGCGCACAGACCTGCGCATCGTTGAGTCGGCGACACGGGACCTTGTAGATAGGCCTGACGGCCCCCCTGACAAGGCCCATGTACTTGCGACTGAAAAGCTCAAGGGCCTGCCGACTCCCAAGCTCAAAAGTCCCGACCCCATGCAAGAACTTAGCGAGCACCATTGCTTTGAACATTTCCTGTCTCTCACGACAGGTCAGAGCATCATTGGCCAGGATGCGTCGCTTGAAGGGCTGGTAGATGGCTCGGGTGAGCTGCTCCCGCCTGCACACTGCAGCTTCACAAGATGCGTTGTGTGTACGGACTGTGCCAAGGTGCGTGTAATCGCCAACGCATCTCAACTGGTGCAGGACAGCCCCGGGCAAGGCAATCTGCAGGCAGCCTTGATCTTGAACAAAGATCTTCTGTCGAGCCTGAGATTTGCCGGCACCAGCAAAAAGGAGCACTGCCTCCGTCTTGCCTGCAGCATAGTTGATGTCCACGCCAGTCACCGCCAAGTACTGATGCGCCAAGCAAGCAGCCCTAGCAACAACTGGCCCAACCTGCATAGCATTCTGGGCCTCGAGTAACAGCGCTACATCATCTAACCATGATTGTGGTAAGGAAGTTGCAGCAGGGCCGCCTCCTCCGCAAACCGCCGCAAGATTCTCCGAGGCCAAGTGCTCAGATAGGCAACGAACTGAGGCTTCGGAAACAAATTGGTACAATATATCTGCCAGGGGTGATCCGGGGGTCGTCCCCCGTGTGGTGGCCTGTACCACCTCTTGGGTGGTGTCGACGACAAACCACGTGGAGGCAAAAGCGGCATTGAGCAGTTGCTGCGTTCCAACGGGTATGCCTGCCCGTTCAAGCGCCCCACGGTCTCCAATGGCCTGGATCACACGCCTGCGAACCTCGGGCTCCAGGTGAAGGGATTGTATATGCGCGTGAAGGTCGGACAGATCCCCCCCAAACAGATGTCCACGGTGCACAGCATAGAATGCCGAGACCCCGTCCAGGTACAGGATAGCACCGGATCGCCCCTGACGCTTCAGTCTGGACATGTGACATTGAGCACTCAGGGCAGCCAAGTCAGCAGGGTGGCGTTTGCGCGCCCCTCCCACCGTAGGCAGAGCCACGCGCTCAAAACCCGCGTTCAGGGCAGGGCGGGTCGCCTTGAGTATACCCTTGGCTGAGGGCTCAACCAGTGCCACAGATCTATATCCTTCGAGCTTGTCGCGAGGTTTATTGGGTTTGGGAAGAGCGCATGCCAACATTCCTGCCCACAAAGTCGGAAAGTGGCGGCGGCTGCAAATCTTCAACAGCACTGGCATGTGGAGCAGCGCGGCCTGCATTGGACAACGGCTGTACACCTCCGCCGGAATCTGTGCAATCCCGGCCGCCTTGTGCGACTTCAGGGACGCAAATGCCGCCACGACCGCAGAAAGGCTCGGTATCTCCTCCAGGAGGATATCAGGTCCTGGCTCGCTGGCACACGTATGATGCATTTCCGACAAAGGCGTGGGCATCGCCTTTTCGGCTTTGCCAAAGTACTCAGCAAAAGCCGCCTTTACGCGGGCCGGCTCGGACAGCCGCTCTCCCGCGGCCTCAACTTCAACAGCGACTTCAGCAATGCGGTTGCTTCGACCGGACTTAAGCACTGCCCGGATCTGCTTGGCCAGGACATCAGGTCCCCGCTCACGCGCCTCCTGGAAAGACTGCCTAGCAAAGGCTGCATCATCCTGCTTTTGCGATCGGCGGGCTTCAATTGTGAGGCACCTGACGCTGCGGGCATGTTGAGCAGCAAGGCGATCGAAAGCTTTGACGCGTGCGCGCAAGCCCCGGGTATCAGGTCCCCGCGCCCATGCAGAAAAGCAGCGAAAAACAACCCACCTAGTGAACAGAGCCTTTTGCCTGCGGAAGCAGCGCCGCTGTGCACGTTTGGCCCTGAGCAGGCTCCAAGTATGTGCGCTGAGCGAAGGCTTACGCGGACTCTGCTGGACAGCAGGAAAAAGTGACGCGATACCCTTCTGAAGATGCTCATTGATGGCAGCAACATGATCATTGAGGGAAGCGCACCAGGGAATGACGGGGGCAGAGGCATACAACTGTTCCAGCTTGGCAATGCCTTCAAGAGTGCCCATAGCAGCTCGATCGACCCGGCCGGGTCTACAGGCAGGCACAGTGAGGTGCAGCTGCGCTTCGGCAAGCACAGGGGAGTGGTCAATTCCAACATGCTCATCGAGGATGGGTCGCACCCCGATATCCTGGAAACTGTCCGTCCAAGCTGCAGGCCACATCAAGTAATCCAGACAGACAGCTGCCGAACCGTCGGGGGGCCGCCAAGTTTGGCGAGCGGCACCGCCTTCGTCATATGCTCTGGAGCGGCACAGGCCGAATTCAGCCAACACAACTGTCAACGCTTCCGCATTATTGTTGCAAGGCATCTCACAGTCACGTCCCAGAGTGAACCTAGCATTGGCGTCAAGCATCATCAATGGGGCGGTGTTGGGCGGAAGTGCAAGGATACGCTGGCGTAACAGGCCCCACCACGCATCACGCACTTCCTGCGTAGCCACAGCGGGCGGGGCATGGCCCGAGAAGCACGCAACACGGCAACCTCCTAATTGTGCGTACACCACAAGCAAACGCGGATGGCTAAAGGCAAGCTGGAAGCTGTGGGAAGCCCACCCCGTGCTCGGGGCAACATTGAACCACAATTGACATCCAAGCTGCCCATCCGGTGCTGGGCTGGCAAAGCGGAGTATGTGGCCAAACTTCTGTATGGGCTCGACGTTAATCCTGCACTCTTGCAAGCCCAGAACAGCAATGCCGTGCTGGGTCTGAAAATTGTGGAGGCATTGTCGTTGCAGGTTGGAGAGGCAAGATAGCGTGTTGTAAGTTGCAAGCCGGCATTTCACCCTGCAGGATCGCTCACGACGTCCAGGGTCCTGGGGAGCCCAGTGGGCTGGCTGCCGGGCACACACTCTATCATCCAGAACTGCCTCAGGCACGGTGGCGAAACCATCTCGCAGCTGCGGAAGACCACGTCGAGCTGCGGACAAGGGGAAGCCCACAACCAATCGAATGAGCCTTCCAGGACAAACTCAACGAAATGCGACTCCAAACCTGCAGCTCGGAAAGAGCTGCGCTGCAACGCTGCCTTAGCAAGGCCATCCGCTAATTCATTCCCGGGGTGTCCCTGATGTGAACGAACGTGTTGATATGCAGGCGTACAGCAGACTACATCCAAATACGCCGCCACAGACAGTGCCGCTCTGCGCAAAGGAGTTTCGTGGCACTGCATCGTTCGTCCTTGCACCACTCTGGTCGCACTCTCACAGTCAAAGAAGACTGCCGAGGGGAGGCGCTCATGTGCGACGGTACAGAGGACTACCAACTGCCCGAACAACTCGCCAGCAAAAGCATCATTAGAGCCCAGACGCTCATCCAGGGTATTAGCGAGGAAGCCCCACCATCCCCACTGTCCGCTAACATTCGCAAGGCACGCAACAGCCCAGCTGGTGTGGGGGACCTTGAAAGAACCGTCCACAAAGAAGATCAGGGCTTCAGGGCGCCTGAGCCTATCATGAACAGGTAGGCCATCAAGCAACCATTTGGCGGCTGGGTGCATCTGAGGATGTTTGGGTATCGTTGCAACATAAGCCTGCAGCGCAAACCCGGCAAAAGCAAGCTCTGTGGCATCCTGCGGAACAGGGAATAGCAAAGCACTTTCACCCGCAGCATTTCGGGCTGGTGTATCCGGCAGGCACCGGTCCAGGGAGAGCTCAACGGCCTGCTGCATGCTGTTGTGCACAGGGCCCACCCCCGGCTTTGCACATGGGCCCTGCAGCTCCGATGAGGGAGCATCACACACACGGTTATGAGCCTTATGACTGGAATCGTCAAGCACGCAACCATCTACGATCCGTGGACCCAGAGACTGGCTGCAGGCAGGGTCAGCAGGAACCCGCCGGCGCCCATGCGGAGTGGGGATCGCAACCTTCCTGATGCGCATGTCAACTTGCAGGAGGGAATGTCCATCCTCGCGGCCGGCGGGAGACGGCTGGTCCGATGCATGGGCAGGTTCTGTGGAGGCGGCCGCTGCATCCTCAAGCTCAAAGGCCCGAAGGAAACTCCGGATCATGTCAAAGTCAGGCTGAGGCATAGGTATGCCTCTCTCCCGCCACCTACGCTGGGCTTCCGCATATGCATCAAGATCAACGCGCATGCGTGGTGGTCGGGGTCGAGGGATCGGGGCATTCGCGAGCATATGCGGTATAAATGGTACCGCGCAGGCAGGCAGGTCCAACACGTCCACGATGTCGCCCGCCCGCCACGCCCGTCCGGGATGCCGCACCAGGCAATTGCCAGGGAGCGGCAGCTTGCCAAAAGTTTGCGCAGCATGCGAGACCATAATGACAATGAAATGTTGCATGTGCCCGAAGTGTGGTAAGAGGGCAGTGTGCAAGGAGGAGTGAGGGCAGCCCGAAGCAAATGTGGCCCGGCACGGTTTGATTGCATGCGTTTCAGCAATTTGCAAGCCTCGGGCCGGGCAATCAGCTAGTCTGGCAAGGCCGGACTGCACATCCTGTAAATCAGGGACAAGGGCCTCATCAGTACGAAAGCGGATGGGACCATGACATGGGCCGAGCACCTCTGCCAAGCCTTCTTGGTGTTTCCAAGACCACTGTTGCCTACGGCGAAGGCGCGCCGTATTCGTGAGCTCCAGTTGGAACGGCCTTTCGCCAGCCTGCAGTGGCCAGGTATATGCTTCCAGGATCGGCAACTCGTCCAGGATCACAGTAGTGGGCAGGGCAACTGGGTAGTCCAGTTCCGTAGAAAACTGGAACACATCACCCTGCGTGGCTGGCCGCTGTACCAAGTGGGCAGGAGCAGCATTAACAAAGAGATGCACTCCCTGTGAACACCAAGGCTCAGGCACAGCAACCTCGCAACGCGCAAATGGCGCCAGGGCAAGGGTGGACAGCTGAAATCCACAAGCACTCTGGTCTGCAATCACAATTGCTTGCTCACTATCAGTGGCTCCACACACGAGAAACACGATATCCTGCACCCCTTGAACAGGAAGGGGTTGAGCTTTGGCCAGCATGATATGCACACCCCCATAGATAGGAGTCGTGCGAGCAAAGACGTCCATCATCAGGCTTTCAAGAACAGCGTCTGCCTGCAGGCACGGCGCCCCAATCTCAACTTGAGCCTGCTCAAGCCCGTGCCGAACGACAAGCCTATACCGACGTTGCTCCCCCTGAACTTGCGTGGTTGTGGAGGTCGTGGACGTCGAGGTGGGGCCAGGACAGTCCCATCTGGGTAAGTCAGCGCCAACACCAGTGCTTTCTGTGAACCATACTCGGGCACTGCGTTCAACCGTAATGTACTGCACCTCCTCTAAATCATCAGGCAAATTAGAGCCAAGGAACCCGGTGGCATCAAGCGCAACCAGAGTCTGCAAAAGAAGCTGGTCGTGAAGTTGCGGCAGCTCCGGGCAGACCGCCTGAACAGCAGCCGCAGAGGTGGCAAAAAACTCGCCTGGCAGGTGTAAGGAAGTGCGAATCCGACCCCCTACACCTCGAAGGTCCCAGGGAACGGGAAATGCTCTGGGATCGTCCTCACGGCGGTGAAGGACGAGTTGTGGCCTTGGGAAGCCCGGCACATTGGAGGTGAGTATTTGCACGGCCCGGACAACAAAAGGTGCCTCTGCAATGGCTGTCTCCACAATATCCCGGAGCGTAGCATCAGACCTGCGTGGTCTAACCAATGCATGGCGCAGCACATCAAAGGTAGCATATGCAGCATTGGCAGTCCCAGCAACTCCCCCCCAGGAAAAATCCATGGCAGCTTGGTCATGCTGCGCGGCACTGAAGTAGTGAGGAAGGATGTCGGGGAGCATGGTTGCCTCATTCTTTCCAGCCTTGGCCTCAATGGCTCGGAAATTGTGCCATAGCAAAGCAGGGGGTTGCGCCTCTGGAGGCTCTGATGGCATAAGCCTGGGCACAGTTGCCTCGGCACACTCACAGAAGTCAGGGGCGAAGGTCAGCTTGATCATGGGCGTGTCTGCACATGCGCTGATCCCTTCCTGCAGGTGTGGCCTGTCAGCTTTGGAAGCAACAAGCTGTACACGCTGCTGGATTTGGAGGTGGGCTGAGTCATCAAATTCGGGCTCATCACTCGCTGGCTCTGGCGGCACGTTGTCGGGTGGGAGTGCACGGCCCTGTATGTAATCAGGTCCCGGAACCTGATGCGGCATTACGATGAAGTTACGCCCGTCGGGCAACAACAGGCGGAAGGGCATGGTAGGCCTCCGGTGCACTGGGCATGCCATGATTTCCCTGGAGACGTCATTGGTCGTGGCTCCAGGAAAGAGATCCAAGGTGCAAATACGTCCCCCAACTGATCTGAGGTCAATGGGGACCGCGTGTCCGTGAGCCGGAACCTCCCTGGTTGTGGCTATCACCTGCACCGCAGGGAATCCTGGAAGCCTCTCCATCATCACACGCAGGCTACGCAGGCCAGGGACGAGGGTTTGCACCTCAGCCACAAGAGAATCCAACGTGATTCCTCGCCTCATTGCGTGCACTTGCACGTGCGCGGTGGTGGTAAATAATGCAAAACGATCCTGCTGCGGTGTTGCCCCTACACCTCCGGCGATTCTATACCCTGAGAACCACCAAAACTGAGAAACCTGGAGCATTCTAACCTCAGGCCGATCGAGTTCTGCCGGGAGAAGCTCGACATGCGCCGCCAGCATACGACGCAGATCCGCGAGGCCGGAGGCCCTAGATCCACCTGTGCCTGTGACGGGGCATTGCTTGCTTCGGCAGAAGTCCTCATCAAGGCCAAAACTCTCGGGCCCTTGCTCGCTTCCCGCAGTGACACAGGGGCATGGACCAGTGGGAGTGCTGGGCCGCACCCGCACATTCCGCAAAGCATGGCGATGGCAGTTGTGGGGAGGAGGACTGGCCAAGGCTCGACAGGAACCTGCCTTGAAACCAGCAAGGACAGAATGCAAAGCGAGGCTCCCCGCTGTAGCCTCACTATGGTGCCGGAAACTGTCACGAAAGAGCACTGAAAGCTGCCTGTGTCTGCGTCCCTCAGAGGTATCTGCACGCGCACCAAACGTAACACGGAAGGGAAGCGGGTGCCGGTGTGTATGCAGGCAGGAACGGAGCTGTACAAGGGCCGGGTTAGAGTCTACCGCATCTGTACACCCTTTAGGCATCACAGGTAAGGTCATGGCGAGGTGAGAAGCCACGCCCTCAACTGGATGTGCAATCTCGAGTCCAGTCGGGCCCATCCCATAGGCACCGACCTGCTGCGAGAGACGCCCATCACAGCTGATAGCAAGACTCTCTTCCCCCGGTATAGCGCCCGTCGCCAGGTCATATTCAAAGGCCAGGATGCGAGGGTCAATCTCCGTCTGGAAGCAGGCAATGTCAAGCTCCTCAATCCCACAATGAAAAGCATGAACTCTGCC